GGCTCAAGGCCTCCCTACAAGCTTTCATTTCTTCTTCACATCATCTCCTCCATGTCACTCTCACCTCGGGCGCACAACTCGTCGTGTGCCATTAAGGTTCCACTCAACGTCTTGGTGCGTGATGACTCCGAATGGTCTTCTCAGTGTATGCCCAATCCACTCCATCCCTATTCTCTTCTGGGAATCTGTTGGACGTTAGTTTCTTGGTGACAATCTTAATTTTGAAATGAACCGTTTCTATCTCACATGTTTGACTGACTAGCGAAACTAAGCTAAACATGAAATTTATATCAAGTCAATTTTTGAAGAAAAAAAAATTTCTTAGAGAGAAATTTGGTCGTAAAATAGTCAGATGCGTTAGAGAAGAGAAGAGGAAAAGAATAATAGGATAGGATAGTTGATGACTGAATTAGACAATCTATCACTCTACACACCAACAAGTAAATATTCATACAGGCTAAGAAGAGCACTATAAAAAAAGTTTGGATTAACTTGAAAACGTTTCTTTCTGCTTTCTACTATTTCGTGTTATTGATAAATAAATGCCAAAACTTGGCATGAATACTTCCACGTCTTATAGATATTAAACGTTCAATAGTCTGTTTAGAAATTCACAATGAATATGCCTCATTTCCTTGTGATCTTGTCTCATTAAGATATTTTATTACCATCCAGATCAACATAGGACTAGGCATTACTGTGTAACGGTCCAAGTTGCTACAGCTCAGTACAGTACATCAAGTAGAAAGGTAGTAAGGTAAAGGATGAACATAAGAGAATGTAGTACGAAGAAGTATAAGGTACGAGACGAAAGAAAGAAAGGAAGAATAACAAAGTGGTGAGATTCCATATAGCGTCGTTAAGATGAGGATAATGTGTGTATACATCTGCGCCACTGGTATCCGTTCTCAGCCATGTAATCACTCAGTGTCAGTCTCCAACCACTGGTTCCTCTTGTCCTGCCGACCCCAACCACCCAGTCTGCATCGCCCCACATGGCTCAAACCAACACTGAAATACTTCATGTATTGGTGCCATGTTTTAGTCTGGCCACCTCGGACCTTTTTCCAGCCTGGACTCACCTCAGCCAACATTGTGTGACGAGGCAATCGGTGACTAGGCATATGTAGTACGTGTCAGAGCCAACCATCTCAGTCGATGAAGGTTCACAACCTCGTCAACTGACTTACCTCTTCTCCCCAAAACTCTACACCTGACTTCTGTATTACTCAACTGGTGACACCACGGAATATGGCCTATACTACGAAGGCAACGGTGGTCAAATACTTGAAGCCTTCTCATGTCTTCCACTTTCAATGGCCATGTTTCACAGCCATACAGTAGAATAGAGCGGACTGATATGCGGTACACGCGACCCTTAATAGACAAACGAATATCACGGCGGCTCCATAGGTGGCGCAAATTGGCAAAAGCCAATCGAGCCTTTTGTATCCGTGCAGAGATTTCATGGGCAACTAACCTACCAGGGTTGATCCTACTTCCCAGGTAAGTGAAGTGGTCAACACACTCAACCACTTCACTCCCTACTGTTAGCCGCGGTACCGCTGAAGACCAGTCCTGGAGCAAAAATTTGCATTTGGGTGGTGAGAACCGCATCCCAAACATTCTCAAATTTCCACTCAAAGTGTTCAAAAGACTCTTCATCTTGTCATCGTCTTCATTTAACAGGACTATGTCATCTGTATATTCTAGGTCTAACGAAAATTCTCCTATGATTAGGCCAACGTATGTGCAACCTGGTAACGAGAGGGAGATTATAGGAGTATCTGTGATGAAATTGAATAAGAATGGAGACAGTGGGCATCCTTGACGGACACCACTTGATGAGTATAGCTCCCTGGATAACTCGCCATAGGCTCTAACATGCCCATAAGTATTTGAGTAGACAGCTTTCAATAAGGTGATGTACTTACTAGGCACGCCTTTCAGTGACAGACATTGCCACAAGACTTCTAGATCAATGTAGTCGAATGCCGCCTTCAGGTCGAGAAATACAGCCAGTCTAGTGCATCGATAAGCATGCCTATGTTCCAGGATCTGGTGCAGTGTGAATATTTGGTAGATACACTCGCGGCAGGGTCTAAAGCCTGCTTGGTTTTCCCAGGCTTGCTGTTCCCTAGCTCCACTCAGGTGTCCGAGAATCATAGAACCTAGGATCTTGGACACTATGTTCGTCAGGCTGATTCCTCTGTGGTTTTCACAAGAGGAATTCTCGCCCTTTTTAACGACTGGGATGATCAGTGACTAAGACCAGTCAGAGGGGATCCTAGTTGATCCCCATATACTGGTTAACACTTCCGTTAACCTGACTAAGAGCACTCTACCACCATTCTTGTATACCTCAGCAGGTAGTCCGCCTGGTTCTGCTGCCCTTCCTCGTTTCAGGTTACCTACCGCTTTCTCAACTTCTTAAAATATATATTAATTCACTATGATATAGAGTGTTTAGTGGCATAGAGACGTTAGTAGTTTTCACTTTTTATATTTTCTTTGAAGTTTCTTTAGTGGTTTGGATTGGTTTTACTGGGTAGGGTTGCTAGCTGCATGGCCAGCGATCCCTCTTTATGGGGGATTAGGACCGGCTAGTAACTAGTGAACTAGTAAACTAATCGACGTTAATCATTAAAGAATTATTAAGAAATGGTTTCATAAACATCAACTTCCACTTTGACATTTCCAACAGCTGAGTTAATTTTTAACTATCTAACTATTACATCAGCAAGTTTTTCATTGGAAACCGTTTAAGCAGATCACAGAATATGATCTGTGACGTTAATTAACAAAGTAAACGATTGACTAAGAAGGCCGATCGGTGATTAAATCATTCGTATCTGACTAGTAAAATTGTCAGATCAGGGTGAATGGTAACTAAATAATGATTTCTTTCAAAAGTCTGTCTCTTCATCCTGATTTTATATAAGAGATGTTGGTTGGGTGATCCCCTACAGAAACTCTGTTGCTACCGCAGCAAAGCAGTTGAGGAGAACTACTCACCTGTAAAGAATGTCAACGTGAGTTAAATTCGTTTAGGCATAGCATTGATGGGGTCAGCTCGAAAAAGAGCCAAACAACAGTACAGTGTTTCAGATCATTCTGAATTGGTTAGCGCAAGACATTAACGCAAGACGCAGTGAAGGATATCACCTAAATTAGTGGCAGAAAAGGAATTCAACCATCCCTGGAAAAATAGGGTCAGAAACATGGTTAACTGAATGCTGATTAGTCTCCCATCTGGATCTTGATATCATTATTTCCTAATGAACAGATAGTGTGAAACACTCGGCATTCCTGTGTCTTTGCTGAATTCTGTCCACCGAACGACTGATTAAAAGTTGTTGACGAAATAAGTTAACATGTATATATTGTTATTGGAATTTTCACGCCCAGGTCATGTAGCAATACGTTATTATTATTATTATTATTATTCCTGTTCGAACATACCGCTTCATTAGCACGTTTCCACTGCACTCTGTTCATTGCAATCTTTTCAACATGGCTCCACGACAGCCCAGAAGCTCTCATTTCTTGCTCACATCATCTCCTCCACGTCACCCTCACCACATACGCCCAACTCGTTGCTTCCCATCTGGGTTCCACTTGAGTACCTGGCCTAGTTTGTGATGTCCCTAATCGGTCTTATCAGGGTATGCCCAATCCATCGCCTCTTCCTTCTGTATAGTTGTTGAGTGATAGCTTCTTGGTTGGTTCATCACCAGCCAGCCAGAGTTCCTTGTTGCTTATTCTTATTATCTTGACCATCTGAGCTTCAGTAACGAGGCAGCGTAGGCGGTAGTTGTTGATCAATATCTGTAATTTGTTGGAAATCCCTTTCGTGACGCACCAAGTTTCTGAACCATATAGAAGCACTGACTTGACGTTGCTGTTGAAAATTTGGATATTATTCCACATGCTGAGTGCAGTTGATCTCCACAATGATTATTTCAGATTAATGAAAGCCTGTCTTGTTGTCTTTCCGATCCTGGTTTTGACGTCCTCGTCTGTACCACCATCTCCTGTAGTTGAAACGGTGCTGCCTAGATAGGTGAAAAAGACTACTTCCCTTAAATTTCTTCCGTTGATGATGTTTGGATCCTGTTGTTGTTAGTGTTGGTTGGGCATCATCATCAACTCTGTCTTCTCTACGTTCACCCGAAGTCCCGTCTTTGCTGCCCCACCTCTTCTGACAACTTGTTAGTTTTCGCCTATAGATCTTCGAGTTTGTGTGATATCAGACATAAATCATCGACGAAATCCAAGTCTTCTGGGTTCTTTTTTTCCACGGTCCAGTGTATCCCCTACTCTTCGCTGCTCACAGTTTGCTGCATGATCCAGTCCACCACAATCAGGAATATCATAGGTGATAGTAGACAGCTTTATCTTACTCTTTCCTCTCTTCAATTCAAAGGCATCACTGAGCTTCCCATTGTGAATTACTTGACATGAGGCATCTTCATATAGTTGTTGAATGAGGTTGATAAATGTTTGTGGTATTCCGTAGTGTTGAAGCAACTGCCTTCCAAATTATTTGTCGGTCGACGCTGTCAAAGACTGGCCTTCTGAAAGTGGATGAAATTGAGATAGAGATTCAGTTGACTGTCATTCTTTACTCTGTTCTATGATGATGCGTAGCGCAGCGTTGCAATTTGATCCGTACATGATTTGTACAAATCCATCTGTTCAGGCTATCCTTTATGCTACTTCTTGAGAAGAGATGAAAACTTCTCGTAAGAAAAAAATTGTATCAATTTCATCTTAAAGGATAGTTACAACAGTTGTTTCCTTATGGTTTGTGTTTGTGTCTTTTTTGTTTGGCGCCTATAAAGACTAACCAAACAGATAACTTTAATCCTTAAAGTAATTCGAATGGATTTTCGTTTGTTAAAAGAATATTCACTTAACCTTTTTTGCCTTCCTTCACTTGCCTCTTACTTGACTGAGAATCCCTTTTGCTATTTTACAAAATGGATTCTAATTGTCATGGATTATTGGTTTGTTACTATAGACAAATATTTATAATGTTTAAAGCGTGATATTTTCTGAACAGTTGCTTATCATATAGATTATATACATATATATACATGCAAGACTTCAGTTGACTTTTACCAGCCGCAACCTATTCTCCACCTGCGTTAAAGGCAAGCTTCCTCGTTTGGCCACCCCTATGTGCATCTACCAGTTCACCTGCTCTTGTGGAGCAAGGTACATCGACTGTAGCCAGAGAATGCTTTCTACATGTATACGAGAACATGTTCCTGCTTGGTTTTATAAAGGTGAAAGAAAGTCTGTTAGAAGTTCGATTCTAGTACATTTGATTGACTTCCATGATACAACAAACCCAGATAATGACTTCAAAATTGTTTATCAAATTCTCCCAAACCTCATACGTTCGCTTTGTTTTCAACTCCTTAAAACAGCGGAGGCTTCAGCGATTCATGAACTAAGACCTGATCTGTGTGTACAAAAGAAGTATGTGAAGTCACTGTCTTTGTCATGGCCATAACATTTTCCCACCCCCACCCATTAGCTCCCCCTCCCACTTTGTTAATTTAACCTTTGTATCCTTCCTTTATCATTATTATTGTTATTATAATCACCTTCACTTTGATTAGTTTCCGGTGTTGTTTCACTTAATTGTCTTAATCCTTTTAGAAAACATTGACTTCATCTTGTCCTACTTGTCTAATGCCATTACATAATACTTAATTGATTTACCATTTTTAACAATTTTTTCACCCCCTTCTCAGTTATATACTCTCTATGTACCATTCCATATATTACATAATCTATTTGTTATCATTCACACTTCAGTTGTTATTATAATCATAAATGCCTATGTCATCACCCGCTCTATTATTATTGTCATCACCACGTAGTGTTTAGTTTTCCTCACAGGATATAATTTTTTCCAAATACCATGTATATATACGATTGTACAGCATGAAAATGAATTCGTTGAAAAGAGTCTCTTCGCTGAATATCTTGTTCTTGATATATATATATATATATATATATATATATATATATATATATATATATATATGCATAATTCATTGAAACAAATGTTCAACGGATCGTCTTTTACTCTATTTATAATAATATTGAACATACGAAAGTATCTAGTAATAATGTGTTGAATAGAATTCACAGTTTATTATAAACCAAGACAATTTCAAAACTATCATTATTATTATTATATTATTAGTCCCTTGGGTTCCTAGTGGAACATAGGGCTTCAGTAGCACGTCTCCATTTCATCCTGTTCTCTGAGATCTTTTGAACCTGGTTCCACGACAGCCTAGAAGCTCTCATTTCCTCCTCGCATGATCTCCTCCATGTCACCCTCACCACGGACCTCCAACTCGTCGCTTCCCCTGGGGATTCAAAACTACCATACAAGAGATTAAATGATCAATGTTCATGTACATATATAAATCTGCTTTCATTTATGTAAAATCCTGAATATTATTGATTTGTTAAATAAATTAGAATTTCGGTGAAGATATATACGATGTATAAAGTTGTACAGATAAAACAACAATGACTACTAACTGAACAATTTATTCAGACAGATACTACTGATATGCATGACAATACTCATTAAAGTAGTATGTATTAGTATTACCGTTATTTTTAATTTTTACCGCTTCAGTAGCACGTCTGCATTGTACTCTGTTCTTTGAAGTCCTTTGAACCTGGTGCCACGACTGCCTACAACCTTGCATTTCCTTCTCACATGATGTCCTCCATGTCATCCTGGCCCCAGACGCCCAACTCGTCATTTCTCATTGAGATTCCACTCGAGTACCTGGCCTGGCACGTGATATCCTAAATCGGCCTTCTCAATGTATGCCTAATCCAGCCCATTTTCACTTTCTTCTGCATATTTGTTGGGTGATACGTTATTGGTTGGTTTGTTGCCAGTCAGCCAGAGTTCCTTTTTGCTTATTTTTTTTATTATTCCGGTCATCTCATCTTCAGTATCGAGTGAGCGAGCGTCGGCGGCAGTTGATGAATGTCTATAGTTTGTTGAAAGTGCTTTTCGTGACATGCTAAGTTTCTGAACCATATGGTAACACTGACTTGACTGATGTTGGTGTTGAAAATCTGGATCTTGTTCATTGTTCTCACTGCAGGAAGTTGCATGTACTCTGACGATAAGAAGTGAAATTACTTTTATGAAACTCGTATTTCCTGATTGATGTATTCGTTGGTTAGTATGTGTATGTCTGTATGCTTGCGTGTGGTAACCACTAAGACGATTGATAAGGATTGTATTTCTTTCTTATCTGGACGCATATCTTGACCAGTGGAGTCAACTAAGTCGAACTTGAGGACAGTTACTCCACGATGACATTGGGTGGAAGTTGCGTTGTTGTGAACTGTCAGAAGTAGGAAATACGTACAACTGCATTGCCGACACACTGCCTAACTACTAACCTGTTAGCCATGGGGATATTAAGACTTGGACATGCCAAGTTACCGCCTGCCACGACGTCCCATTATAGAAGAAACAGGATGACCAAGTCAGGAGTCCACATAAATCCATGAAGTTCCATACTGTTGATCCGATACATCTAGGGAGGTGTAAACCACCTGAGTGAGGACTCTTAGTGACATAGTTGAAAGCCAAGTACTGTAGCATACATGCATTCAGGATTATGTGGATGACGTAACACTCAGTATAAGACGATAGCTTAATAAAACAACCAGCAAGTGTTTATGAGAGCTGGGGTAAGCAAACTATGAAGGAATATATGAGGAATACTAGAGTGAGAGAATCTTACTCATGTTGACGGAAATAAGTAGGTTAGGAGAATGTGTTAGAAGTTATTGCAGATTATGAGAATGAAGGGGTATCTCAAGTATGGAACAAGGAAATTACATTACCTGGGATTGGTTATGAAGAAGTCCATGCTTCCTGAACCGTGTCATGATAACTGAATCAGCCACACTCACTGTTTTCATAACACAACTCTACTTGTTTGATCCTGATGGCTACAACTTCTGAAGCCTCAAGTATTCGGAGTCGGATACCTTTTGACAAGTCGATAGGAAACGGATACAGAATGGAAAGTGACTCATTCATATCCGCTTTATGCTTCATTTCAATAAAGTATGCTGATATGGAGCTGGTAATCGAGAAGTAACTTGGCATTCAGCTCTTTCAGAACAACGGAATACCACAAACCTTTATCAATCCCATTCAACAACTATTATGAAGACGCCTCATGCCAATAAATTCACAATGGGAAGCTCAGTGATGCTTTCGAAGTGAAGATAGGAGTAAAACAAGGCTGTCTACTATCACCCATGATAATCCTGATTGTGAACGGCTGGATCATGCAACAAACAGTAGGGAGGGAGAAGAGGTGCGTAGGCTAAACGATGAAAAGATCCTGGAAGATTTAGATTTCGCCGATGATTTGTGTCTAATGACTTGTCGCACAAAATTGAAGATCTACAGGCGAAATCTAACAAGCTGACAGAAGAGGCAGGACAGGGCAGCGAAAACGGGACCTCACTTGGACGTAGAGATGAAAGAGTTGATAAAGATACCCAACCAACGCCACCACCACCACCAACAACAAGCACCAATCACCATCAACGGGAGGAACTCAAAGTAAGTAGGCTCTTTCATCTATCAGCTAGACAGCATGTTTTCAACTACAGGTGGTGGCGCAGACGACTACTTCAAAGCCAGAATCGAAATGACAACAAGACAGGCGTTCATTAACCTAAAACTAGTGTGGAGATCGTCTGCACTCAGCATGTGAAACAATATCCGAATTTTCAACACCAACATCAGTCAAGTCAGTGCTTCCGTGTGATGCTTCAGAGACTTTGCGCGTTACAAAAGGTATTTCCAACAAACTGCAGATATTGATCAACAGCTGTCTTCGCTGGCTCGTTACTGAAGCTCAGATGGCCAGAATAATTAAAATAAGCGGCAAAGAACTCACTGTGGCTGGCGACGAACCAACCAAGAACCCATCGCCTAACAAATATGCAGAGGCATACACAGAGAAGACCAATGGATACATCACGCATCAGGCCAGGCCGTCGAGTGTAATCCAGATGCGAAACGACAAGATAAGCATTGGAGGTGAGGGTGGCATGGAGGAGATCGTGTGAGGAGGAAATGAGAGGTTTTGGGCTGTCGTGGAGCCAGGTTGAGAAGACTGAAGAGAAGGGAGTGCAATGATGACGTGCTACTGAAGCAGTATGTTCCATTAAGAACTCAAGGGACAAATATTAATTATCGTGGTTACCACACTTTTACTCACTCACACTGGAAGGTGTTCGTAATGGCGGAAAATCGAGTTTCTAGAGTAGCAACCAATGTAACTGGCTTCAAACAAGTACTCAAACTAATGAACACAACAGAAAAAGACCAGTTTAAGCATTTCATGCTTCAGTGTCAGTGTCACCATTGGGCATGTGGAGAAACCATTTTCCAATTTACCAGCAATGAAAGTTTTCTTAACTGGTCAACGTAGTCCCTGTTTTTATGTCTCACTGTGCAGGTCACTTCTAAATTGTACCTAATGAGTAGTAGTTTTCTGCTAACCGTTGGTATATCCTTTCATGTCATTTTTCTAATCATATGTTTCCTTATGACATGAAACAAATGATTTATGTTTAACTCCAAAGCTTATTGGTTTGAAACGATTTATTGATAAAAAAGGTGTTTGCATCACAGGTGTGTTTCATTTTTGGAGAATCAGTAAGACTGTGGAGGTATTAGAGAGCGGTTTCATGCTATTATGAGGTTCCTTATATAGTGCACGGTAGCTCAGTGATGCTTTTGAAGTGAAGGCAGGACGGAATAAAACAAGGCCGTCTAATATCAATCCGTGATATTCCTGATTGCAGTGGACTGGATCATGCAACAAACCGTGAGGAGAGAAAAGAAGGGGAAACACTGGACCGGCAAAACGATCTTAAAAGATTTCCATTTCGCCAACGATGACTTGTGTCTAATATCACACAAACTTGAAGATCTACAGGCGAAAACTAGCAAGTTAACAGAAGAGGTGAGGCAGCGAAGGAAGACGGGACTTGCTTCAAGTGAACGTTGAGAAGACAGAGATGAGAATGATACGGAATCGAAACCACCGCCACCAACAAAAAACACTAATCACGACGAATGGGAGACACTAAAATGAAGTAGCCTCTTTCACCTATCTAGGCAGCACTGTTTCAACTACAGGAGATACAGGAACAGACGAGGACGTCAAAAGCAGCCAGTATCGTAAAAGCAAGACAGGCTTACACCAACTTGAAACCAGTGTCGAGATCTTCGCCACTCTACTCAGCATAAAGCGTCAACAACATCCGGATTTTAAACACCAATTTGGATCAAGTCAGTGCTTCTGTGTGATGCTTCAGAGACTTGACATGTCATGAAATGCATTTCCAACAAACTACAGATATTCATCAACAACTGCTGCCTACGCTGGCTCGTTACTGACACTGAAGATCAGATGGCCAGAATAATAAGAATAAGCAACAAGGA